ACACACACACACACACACGCATACATAACACACATGCCCAGGTACACATACATAGGCACACACATGCACACAGGCACACACATGCACATTTGCACATGCACACACAGATGAACACATACAGGTGCGCGTGCGTACACACACACACACACACACACACAGAGGCTCCGCTGACTCGTTGAACTCCACTGGGTGACAATTTTTCTCCATGTTCCAGGAGGTTCTTCTAAATGGACTGGGTTTTGCTGTCATTCTCAACGGATAAGCATAGCAGGTGAACAACCTAGCAAAGCCCAAAGGAAGTCAGACTACCCCACCCCTGCCTCTCCACTAAGAAAATGCTGCAAGCTCTCATATGGGTCAGGAGTGTGTGGAAGAACCTAGATGTGAGACTTGAGTTTCTGGGATAACACAGGAATGGAAACACAGGAATGGGGAGATTTCCTCCAATCAGATCTGCTCCCCAAACTCCAGTCAAAAGGAGACAAGACCTAGAGTTGGTAACAGACCACAGGTTGTGTGTTCACACAAGCAGATCAGGTGACTTACCAATGAGCTAGGTGATGACATCACTTCAGGTCACCTAATGAGTGACCTCAAGGTTCATTTCTATTGAACGTTGGTCACTGTGGCAGAGCTGTGAATGTCTTTCTGTAGCCTGGAGTTGCTGTACTGGTCATAGCAAGTGCTTACCAGGTTGTGCCTCATCTCTGAAGTGAGGGACAACAAGAGTCCCTCATCCTAACTTCTAACATTCTAGAAGTTCTAAGCATTCCAGTTAATTCATGGCACTTACAGGCACTCAGTGAATGTAAGTTCTCCCTACCATGAACTAGAACAGAAAAATAACACCACAACTTCTATTGGCCTCTAACCATTTAGCATTTCCTTTCCATATGAATAGAGGTAACAGCAGTGTCACCAATGCCTGTCTTGTCCCCTGTCACATGCCAGTCACTGAGGCAGAGATCTCAGAAAGCACGATGAAGGCTTATCACTGCTTCAAAATTGAGGTGACTGTTAAAGCTGCTGCTAAATCTCATTGACCACATTAATCAAGACGTAGAGAGGTGAGCTTATCACATCGGGCCGTATTTTCATAATAGCATTTCCATATAATTGGGTTTCTTTGAAACTTAAAAAAAAATCTTATGACTTTAAAATATAGTTTGAGAAGGGGGAATCCCTAGGTTTTATCAGCCTGGCAAAGGAATCTAAGCCACCCCCCCCCAAAAAAAAAGGTGATTAGGGCCCTGGAATAAAGTGATTTCCATGTACTCCTTGTGTCTTGCAGTCGAGCATTCTGGGGCTCTATTTCTCCCAGAGTCCTCTGGTTTAGCAAAGCTATGCACTTGAATCTGCTGATCATATTTGCCTTTTTCTTCCCATCAGGAAATCCATCCAAGCTGTGGCAGCCCTTCTATACTCCTGGGCTTCCCACAGAAAGTGCTCAAATGACACTGGAAAGAGTTCAAAAATCTCAACTCCTCCAGCTTTAATTCCTTTCTTCCCCAGCAGCTGTGGCAGGCAGGGTAAGAGAGAGCCATCAGTACAACTTCTACACTGAAGGTGCTTCACTACCCAGCCAGCCCAACATCATTCTTCCTTCAGCTCCAGGAAACCCTTTCCGGGTGGGTTCCACCTTTGAGCCAGAAGGCAAGCTTCATAGGAGGGGCTAGGCTGGTGGGAGGGACTACGGCTGCCCATCACACAGCACTCCCGTGCTGTTTCTCTGGACTTGGATAATTGCTGGTGATGATCCTCAGACTTTACATATACATATATATATGTACATATATGTATATATAATTTAATACTAAATATATATTTTATTATTATTACTATTAGTCATTGATATGGTAGTGAGGAATATGAACCCATGGCCTCATGCATGCTAGGCAAGGACTTTACCACTAAGCCATGTTCCCAGCCCCTGCAGACTTTCCTAATGACTACTTGTAACCATCTCCCTGCTACAGACCTTGGCCTCACTGCCCAGCTGGCTAAAGCCACTGGTTTGAGTTTCATCTTCTTTATAATTTAGGGATGCTTAGACCACAAGCCCCTGGCAAATGGTTCTGCTTTACTGGCCAGTACCTCGTGGAGCACAGTAATGATGGTGAAGGGGGCCTCCAGTTCTGGGAGCAAAGTCATGTGACTCTCTGGGTGGGCAAAGGTCTCAAGAAACGTGCAGAGTCAGGCAGAGTTATTCTCATTCAGAGATCTCTTCTCTCTGACAGTACTGTTCACTGAGTATCCTCTTTATAACCCACATCTCCCTTAGACCCCCCACTGGGTAAAATATTCTACAATGTCTTGAATAGCAACACTATGTCCCATTAACCAAATAACTGGTTGAACACTTAGGTTATACTTCCCCCCCTCCTTCCTTTTCTGTGACAAAGGGAAGGGCTGGACCCTGGTGCCAACGCTGGCTGAGGATGGACTGAAGTGCCTGCACTAACTCACCTGCTCGCCCACAGGCCCTGGCCGTCCAGGATCGCCTGGCTCCCCCTACAAAGAGACAAAGAGGATCATGGGTTGGGAGATGGGAGGCTGGGCCTCCTGAGGGAAACTTCCCAGAGCCATTGGCCTTCACTGTGATTGATGTTGATGGACTAGGAGTTTCAGGGACCAAAAGGTACTGGGACAGAGCCTCTGCCCTCCCAGAACTCCAGTCACCTATCAGCCACCTGCTTAGCACCCTAATGTGTATGTCTTGCTTTGGGCCCTCCACACACTACTGTGTGTGTGTATGTGTGTGTGTGTGTGTGTGTGTGTATGTATATATAGTGTACACACACACACACACACACACACACACACATATATATATATATATATATATATATATATATAGTGTACACACACACATATATAGTGTAGGTGGAAACTGAAGCCCAGAGAAGTAGATTAAATGTTTCAGGTCATACAGTAAGCTAGAATGAGGGCTAGAGTGGGGACCTCGCACCACAGAGGGAGCAGGTGCTGGGGTTAGAGTATCAGGGTCCTAGGCCTCAGATTCCAGCTGTATTAAGGGAGACCATGCTCCTTTGTCTCCTGAGGCCTTGTCTGGCAGCCTCGGGCAAGTCCTGCTCTGCATGTAGCCACAGTGCCCTCATCAGAGGCAAGTAGACACGTGGGACAAATCCACTCAGATGTGTCAGCCTTCCACCACAGAAACCCCACTGGTATCTGAGGAACAGCAGTGACACCACAGAAGTCTGGCTGGAAGATGCATGCAGCTCCCTGCATCCTGGCACAGCCATGTCCTATCCTTGAGTTCTTGCGCTGGACCTCATGTTCACAAAACCCAGAAGGGCCAGGCATTCACCAGGAGGGAGGGCAGACACGGCAGCCAGAGGCCCCTCTGGCCCATTCCTGCCCTCCTTGGGTATATTGGCCCACCTGTAAACCTGGCCCAAGAATCTCTTTCCAGAATGTTAGAACATTCATGCAACTCCTCTAGTGACCTCTTCCACATTCCATCCTTTTCTAAGGGGACCCCACTGAGATTGCCCGTGAGATGAGAAATCATTCCTTTCCTGCTCTAGGCAGGTTTTGTTTTGTTTTTTGGTCAGCCATGGGGCTTGAACACTGGGCCTGAGCACTGTCCCTTCAGCTCAAGGCTAGCACTCTACCACTTGAGCGATAGCACCACTTCCAGAGCAGTTTATTAGAGATAAGAGTCTCACAGACTTTTGTGCCCGGGCTGGCTTTGAACTGCAATCCTCAGATCTCAGCCTCCTGAGTAGCTAAGTCTACAGGTGTGAGCCACCAGCGCATGGTGTGAGCATGATTTTATTGATAGTTAAGTCCTGTTAATAAATATAAGGCATATTTACTGCATACAAGGGGAACATATTGTATACAAGTGGAAATCTATTATCCCGCCCCTCAGAGATGAGTCCTGTCCACACCCCACCTCTGCTCCTATGCCCCCACCTCCACTGGCATCATCCTCACTGGGGATAAGAAAACGTATCATTTTTCTCTCCCTTCTTACAACTGGCATAGAAGACAGAGCCCTGTATTCTGGGGCCCACCCCTCTCCTGTCACCCCCAGCATCCCCAGATGTCCTCACCTTCAAGCCATCAGGGCCAGGCCTTCCAGGAAATCCTTTCCTGCCCGATTGACCCTGCAATGGGAAGAGATGTAAGGAGAACGGCTAAGGGGTTCTGAGGAACTCTGGGAACCTGGTACAGGTTCCTTTAGGGTTGGGGACAGTCATGGTGCCCTGGATGGACAGGGATAGCCTCAGGGAGCCTTCTGCTCACTGGGCTGGTCTCCTTGTAGTAAATAGGGACAATGACACCTGAACAAGACAATGGGGAATTAATGTAAGGGGTCCTCAGAGAGTTCAGGGCTGTCCAAGACCCTTTTAGGAGGGCCAAGAGGCCAGAACCATTTTCGTAGGAGCATCAAAGTATGATTGCCCTTGTCACTGCCATGCTCTGGAAGCTGCATCACGTGTGGTAGCAACAGATGGGACAGAGGCAGAGCTGAGTCCATCTGACTTTGTTTAAGCTGGGCATTCAAAAGGGTTGCAAAAGGGACCGCACAGATCAAGACGCACTGCACAAGTAAACTGCTTTGTGACATGGCAAAAGAAAAACCAATACACATCCCACAAACTTAAGAAAAGTGAGGGAAAGGGTGGTTCTGGGTGGGTGAGAATATTGAAAGGGGTGACACTGATCAAGGAACACTGTATTCATAAATGAAAACACTTTTTTTTTTAATGCGGAGTAAACTATGATTTGGGAAATACAGCAAATTTTTGGTAAAGTTGATTAGTTTTGTTCACACGAAATCAGGTAATTACTTGCATTGTACTCATAAATGTTTAAAGCAGGTCACTTTTAGTTATTAATACCAGTAAATGGGACCCATACAAACAAAAGCTCTTTAGTATTCTGTCCTTTTTAGGAGCATAAAGAGAGCCTGGTGTAATGACTCACACTCCAATTCCAGCTACTTGGGAGGCAGAGATCTGAAGGACTGGTTTAAGGCCTAGGCAAAAATTAGTGAGGTTCCACCTCAACAATTGAGCTACACATGGTGGTTCATGTCTATAATCCTTGGAGGCATTGATACTAAGATATCAGTCTGAGGTCAGCTTGGAAAAAAAAAAAAACCACAAGACCCTATCTGGAAAATAAGCAAACAAACAACCTAAAGCCAAAAGGCTGGGGTCATAGTTCAGTTGATACAGTGCCTGCATAAAGAGCATGAGCATGAGGCCCTAAGTTCAAACTCAAGCCCAATATATATATATGAAACCAAACCACTTATGGGGTTTGAGGCTGTTGGTATGGGCAACTTGGGGATGGAGGAAGTCCATCCCCAAACAGCTTCTGGAAAGTTATGCAGAACTATATAGGGAACTCAGACTTAGCCCCTAAGTAAGTCCCCACTTTCTGGCTGAATCTTCCATGCTTCCAGCCTTGACTGCTTCTCTCTGCTGCAGTAAGCTAAGAACAGCAGAGATGCTCGTAGCAAAGACCAAAGAGAAAACAGAGACACAGTACCCAGCCTGCCAAGGGCATGCTGCCTCTCCTCTGGGGTGTGTCTTGCCCTTTCTCTGCCTGGTCCTAGGCTCTCGCTGCTGGCTGCTCTCGGGGGCTCTGGTTTGATGTTACCTGTGTTCAGCTCCACCTGATCCCACTACCCCTACCCAGCAACGTGACACTCACCTCCAAGCCAGGGATTCCGGGAGGCCCTGTGGGTCCCTCATCTCCCTAGAAGTAAGACACGAGAAGAAAAATGGAGATAGTTAGTCTAGTTTCTGATAAGATTACTCTGTATGCAAAAGAAAGAGATAGACAGAGGAACGGCCTCTTGGACACAGAGAAACCAAGCACCTGGCCACTGCCTAGGGGTGGAGGTTCCTGTAGGCACAGCCCAGAGGTCAGGATTCGTGGAGTAGAGGCTCAGACAGCAGACTGAGTGGTAGGCTCTGTTCTGAGCTCTGCCAGACCTTGTGTGCCTCAGTCTCCCAGAGTGGAGATGATTCTCCTGTAACACATGCCTGGCTTCCGCTGAGTTCTGAGCAGCAACGATACATACATCACTCTTTCAAAGCCACCACTTAGGATGGCAGCATCTGGAGATGTTTGGAATGAACGAAGGGGTGAGTGTGGGGATTCATGAGTCATAAGCAAGCGAAGGACTCGGTTTTCCTGTGTGGCAATTCAAGTGCAGACGGAGGCCTGTGGTTGGCGCCATCCTTCCCTCCCTTTTTTCTCTCTCCTCTCCTCCTATGGGCAGGGCACACGTGTTCTCCAGCCTGGCTCTTCTGGCTGGCCAGGCCTGATCAAGAGCTCCCTCCAAGCTCCCTCCTCAACTCTTATCCCATTTCCAAGAAAGCAGCCACACATGGCGGCATCCAGAGCCAGCACTGGGCCCCTGCCAGACCCAGAATCGGCCCCTGAGATGGGATCTTAGTTGCGGGTGATGAGGCTGCTGCTTGATCCCCCCTGCCAGGCTGTGTGCCAGGGGTCTGGGAGGAGCCTCTGGCACCGGCAAAACCTGATTCTATGCCCACAGAGATCTGCTCATTACCCTTCACTGGCTGTGCCAGCCATGTTATTTTCTGGCACCAAGAGTGTGGACCATAACAGCGCTGGGCCTGTATCACGGACCCTTAGGCTTAAGCAGATCTAAGTTCAAATCAAGTTCCTGTTTGCCCCTTTACCTGTCTGGGTCTTGGAGATGCTATGCAGTACTACTCGCTATACAATAAGCCCGGATTCCTGCCCTGCCATATGAATGCCCCAATAGATAAATTGCTCCTATGATCTGGTAGAAGCAGTGTGTCAGTGAATGAAAAATCTCAGAGTGACAAGCGGGCAGCAGAAGGAGGGAGGGAGACCTGCCCTGTTAGGGAGGCAGGTGACCAAAGGTCCCTAAAGGGTTCCAGGGGCAGGGCTGAAAGGACAAGACCCAATGGTGTGTGAGTTACGAGGAAGCCCTGGGCTGCATCCCAACCCAGGGACTCTGGCCCAGTGCTAAGGTCTCTGGTACCCTGGACAGAGCAACCTAAGGCTGCAGATGAGGTAGGGGCTATGGGGAAGGGGGAAGGGTGGGACTCTTCTCACCTCTGGCCCTAGCTGTCCACTGGGTCCTGGCAGGCCTCGGGCTCCAGGCTTACCCTGGGAGAAGGGAATAGAGAGGGAATCAGAGGCCGCCCCTATGTCTCCCTCACAGGCCGCAGGATTCCAGCTTCTGAGCCTGGGCAGTCGGCGGGGAGGGGGAGGGGAGGAGACTGGTGGGAGGGAGGGAGGGACAGGTTTTCACAGAATCATCTGCTTTTTCTACCAGGGCTGCCCTGAGCAGAGAACTCACCTTCAGGCCTTCAGGGCCATTGTCCCCAGGTGGGCCAATGTCTCCTGGGAATCCCTAGGCAAAGAAGAGGTGGGGTCAGTGGGGACTGCAGGAGAAAGGCTGTTAAACAGCAAAGGAGGGTGAGCTGGTGCCATCCATCCTGCTATCAGCCCAGCCACACACTTCAGCCCTTCTCTTCAGTCCCCAAACGAGGACCAAGGTACCATCCTGACGCCCAGGGAGTGGCTGGGAAACTGTGAGACTGCACAGGAAAGGGCAAAGGTTGTCGGCCCCACCTGGCATTCCAGGCCAGAATTTCCCAAGTCTCACAGAGTTAGGATGCTGCGGGGACCACTCTCCCAAGCCAGCCACCCTGCCCAAGAAGCCTGCCACTAACCTCAGACATTCTACCCGTGAGTGTGTTTTTGTTCATGTGTGCACTTCTCTGCCAGGGCGGCTGGGACATCCAGCTGGTTGAAAAGCTGAGGCCATGAACTGCAGCTCCCCCTGTCAGAAGCTGAGAGCTCCGGACATCCTGGCCAGCTGTGCTACACTCCACCCATGCCACCCGTCCTGGCTCACTGCTGAGCAGGCCTGGAGATGGCGCCTCCCCTCTTAACGTCATCCCGTGCCACGCACATACCTTTCCCTTGTAGTGGGCTTTGTGCAATTTGGATGCCTCTTTCACAGGTTTTTCCCTTCTTTGCCCTATCATGGCTGCTGCCCAGAGCCCAGGACCCTTGAGCCTGCCTGTCTGCAGTTGGCCTTTTCCATTGCTGGTGGCCACCAGGATGCCCATGTTTCTTAGAGTGGGGGGGGGGGTCCCAGCAGCATGAACCAGTACAAGAATATTTCCTTTCTTGTTTTCCATGTAATACCTCTGCTAATTCAGCCTAGGATACCCATTCATTTTTAGGGCATCACTTCTGTTTTCTGATCGCTAGAAACCAAAGGCCCCGCCGTGCTTTTTGAGTCTGCAAACAAAAGAACTCCTCTCATCTTGCTTTCTGACATCAGCTTTGTTGTTTTCTGCCACTTTGAAGCAACTCCTGCTAAATTCTGGCTCAGACATCCTTTCTTCTTGCCCACTGGCAAAAGGGAAGAATGATCCTATATTTCAAGCTAAAACAGTGAAGCCAAAGCCCTATGTGTTTGTTTTTTCTTCAATATGAGCATATCAAAATCTCATCCAGCTGCCCACTGACTGCTCACTGATCCTGGTCTAGTTCCTAAGCCTCTCTGAGCTTCGGCTTCCTCATCGGTGCAGAAGTGACTCAGAACACCCCTCCCCCAGCCTTAGAGGGCTGAGCAGAGGCTGAGATGAACTATGCAAGCAAAGTGCTAATCTTGGTGCCTGGAACTGACTAAACACTCAGGAGAAATCTGTTTCTAATGCTTTGGGTCCCTTTTGCATGCCTGGGGCAGTCCATCTCCGGTGCCAACACGGCAGTACCAGTGCTGGTCAGATTCTGATGTTAATTCGCATCTGTCCCAGGAAGGGCAAAGGGGACAATTCAGCTGGGATCAGCCAGGGAATGTAGAGATAGGCACTGGGCCAGCATAGGTGCTAGGGTGTGCTCTGTCGCCTGGCTGTGGAATCAGCCAATCGAAATAGCACAAACACAGGGCAGGCAGAAACCCAAGCCACAGTCAGCCTGATTTGCTGCTGCATACATCCCAGCAGGGAACTTTGAGAAAGCCACTTTGGGGCTCTAGGCCTCAGTTTCCTCCTAGGTAAGTGGCAGGAGGATCATCCTCCCAAGGGAAAGGGGGGAATTCATCATGCGCACATCCCAGGGCCTGGCATCAGGAAGAACCTCATAAATGTGAGTGAACGAGTGCACTTTCCACCCTCACTGGCCAGATTGCTGGGAAACCCCAACTCGGAAAGTCTTTTTCCACAGTGACCAGTGAATGGAGGAGAAGCCAGGTCCATTTGTCTAGAGAGGGCTGTGTCACGGCCAAAGTCAACACAAGGGAAAGTCGGACTGCGGCTTTCAGGAAACACGGTCTCATCATCCATCTGGAGAGCCTACGAGCCATCTTTGGAAAGCTCTAGAGAACCACAGCGCCTGACTTGCCTTGGCTACGGAGAGTTTGTGGAGGAGCAAGGCCCAGAGGCTGAGAGCTCTGGGGTGGGGGAGGGAAGAGGGTTCTGGCTGGGGTAAGCCTTGGCTTAGCATCATGCCAATGTCACAGAGAAGGCAAGGGAAGTTCCGCTGGCTGGCAGCACTCCACCAAAGGTGGACTCGAGGTGGTCATGGCTGGTTTAGCCTCTTTGTGACGATTTTCACGTCTAGTAACTCTCAGGACTTCCCTGAACCTGGCAGCCGCTAGGATAGCATGCCAACTCCAGCCACCACTACTTCTTCCTCAAGCCACAAACCAGAATCTGGACCTTCCTGGGTGGCTCGGGCAGGAGCTCCGAGGGGCCTCTGGGAATGGAACCTGGGAACTTCTGAGGGACCAAGGCATTAAGGATGAAGGCTCTTCAGATGGTTCTATAGTCACCCCAGAGCCAGCATGGCCACTAAGCTGGAGAAGGGCTCTGAGAACAGCTTTTGGTCCCTAATGTGTCTGTTAGTCCCTAGGTAAGAGAGAAGGGCAGAGATGCGAAAGTGAAGAGGGATGATCTGGGACTGACTTCCTTCCTTCCTTCCTTCCTTCCTTTCTGCAGTGCTGGAGTTTGAACTCAGGACCTCATACTTGCTACACAGGTGCTCCACCCCTTAAGCCATGTCCCTAGCCCCTTTTACATCCATTATTTTTCAGGTAGTCTCAAATTTTTGCCCAGGGATGGCTTCCGACCACAATTCTCCTATCTACTCCTCTCACAAGGGTGGGATGACAGGTGCATGCCTCCACACCCAGCTTTTATTGGTTGAGATGAGGTCTTGAGATTTTCTCAGTCCTCGTAATCTCCAGCTCCTGAATAACTAGGATTACAGAAATGGGTCGCCATACCCAGACTGATCTAGGACTTTGTACTGTCAGCCTTCCTTCTCATTGTTGTGTGATCTCAAATAGGTCCTGCCTCATCTCTGGGCCTCAGTTTCCCAGCACAATCCCAGCTGTGACCAGACATAGAGACAGGACATCACGTACCTCGGGTCCGGGGGGCCCAGGAAACCCTAGAGAGCCTTTGTCTCCAGTTCTACCCTGTGGAAGAGAGGAGGCTGTCAGGAGGCTGGGACAAGTGAACCCCACATTCTGCTAGAATCCTACATTATCCCTGGCTATGGGCAGTCAGAAAGTTCTGGAACACATGGATGAAATCTGCCTGAATCTGCTTTAAAAAAAAAAAAAGAGCAGTGGTTCCAATGTCTCCTCCTGTGCTGACCAGCTAAGAGATTGTAGGCAACTCTGTCTACCTTTGACAACTATGATTCCCCAACTACTGAGTAGGAGCAATAGTAATACTCCCCCACCCCCAGCTTCTGGGGTGTTGGCACCCCTCAGAGGAGCAGTCACAAAGGATGTAGTAGGTGACATGTGTCTGAGCAACACACAGTTACCCTTGGGTGTCAGAGTCAAGTTCTCATCAAAGCCAATAGTGCATGGGGCCTGTACAGAATGCTGGCCACTCCCTGGTCCCCAGTGTCCTCAGAGGAAACGCAGGCCTCTCCTGCCCTGTTCTGCGGTAGTGGTATGGAAAGGCAACCTAGTCACCTATGGCCAGTTGGGAAGTCACCAGCTTCTCTTCTGAAGGCCAGTGTGCAAGTGTCGGGTGCTGGGGAGAAGGAAGAAGACTTACCAGAGGTCCTGGCTTCCCGCGTGCACCCGGGAACCCCGGCAGCCCTTGGCTTCCCTGAAAGGACAGTGGAGCGGGTGAGCAACAGGAGTGTAGCTATGGGGTCTCACTCTTTCCCTGGCATGGTTTCTGGCTTGGCTCCCTGACTAGGTCCCCAAGGCTGGGCCTAAGGTGAACCAGCAACCCGGTCCTCCCAGGACCCAGGGCCAGGAGGCCCTGTAATGTCCTTCACACAGGGAGGTCTGGAAACCCCAGCCTAGCTGGAGTGTCACAACCCAGAGCACTGAGGCTGGGTCAGGATAGGCCAACAAGGAGGGAGGGAGAGGGAGAGCAGCCTGACATCTGAGCCTGGTGGGCTGGCTGGAAGAGCCAGATGTGGCCACATGGCGCGAGACACAAGCAGAGGAGCCCCAAGTCAAGGCTACCACAGTTCATCCCATGATCAATTCAACAGTGAGGCCAAATCATCCCTCCCTCTCCTCCCACCTTCCTCCTTCCTGCCTCCCTCCTTCCAATTTGCCTTAAATATTCCCTGGGAAGTATAAGACCCTGAGCAGAGCTGTGTCAGGGCTACCTACGGTCCTGTCTTCAGGAACCATTAGCTGGCAGAGACTGAATATTAAGTCCCTGGAACCAGATGAGACAATGGTATCATGGTGGAGGCACAGATGCGGTACCCAGGGCCACTTTCTGGACAGAAAGAAATGATCTCTGAGCAGAGTGGTATAGAGGCTAGGGGAGGGTGTTTCAGGCCAGCAGCAGTGTATGCAAAGGTGTATGAGACACAGTAATGGTTCTGTGGGTTCTAGGGCCATAAAGAGGAGGGACAGAAGAGTGTCAGAGAGCCCATGAATAGGGTCGTGTATTTCTAGGGTGGCAGCCAGAATTTCTCTGGATGTATTAGGGATCCATGGCTGGTGTGAAAGCACAGAGCATGCTGTACCCTCAGAAGGACAATTTGGGGCAGTGAGGAAGAAGGCTGGAGGCCATGGAAATGTTTGGTCTCTGGGGAGAGGTGGACAGAGGTTCAGACAGGATGGTCTGAAGGGAGGCTTGCCATCATGGATCCATGTCTACCCTGGAAGGAAGCTAGGACCAGAGCAGGGAGCTGGAAGGGGTATGGGAGCATGGTGCACAATTACCTTGTCTCCTTGAAAGCCAGGATCGCCCGCCACACCTGGGATCCCTTGTTCACCCTGAGTATACACCAGCAAAGAAGATTATGAGGGGGGCCAGGGGAGGTCCAGCCCTGTGGGGTGGAGGCTGTTTTTAAAGGGGAAGGCAGTTTGGGAGCAGCAGCCTGTTAGGAGTCACAGACAGGCACCTGGGTTTGGGAAGCAACTCCAGGCGATAAGCTGGCCTAGCTGGGGGTGCACCTGCACCTATTGGAGCTGCTCAGAAGGCTGGAAATGCCCATCAGGGGGTAGTGGCCTTGGTGATCACACAGCCTTTCTTGGAGAACAGACACTGCTATAGCATCTTCTCTAGTGGCTTCTGTATAGTTCAGCTTCTGTAGCAACAACAGTTACTGCCACACAGTGCCAGGGGCAGCCAGTAGGTACAAAGTCCTCTCCACAGAGAGCCAGTGTCTTCGTCAGCTGTCACTTTTTCCTCCAGTGGCAGTGATCAGCTTCAGTTTCTTTCTGATGAACTAACTTCAATCAGCTTCCAAAGAAAACAGATCACCTGACTTCTGAAGACTACAAATTGATCCCAATTTATACCTGTCTGGGTGGTGCTTTTTTGTGTGTGTGCCAGTACTAGGGTTTGAACTCAGGGTTTAGACATTGTCTCCTAGCTTTGCTGGGTAGAAGCTGGTGCCCTATCATTTGAGTCATACTTCCACACTTCTGGATTTTTTGCTAGTTAATTGGAGATCAGTCTCACGGCCTTTCCATGCCTGGGATGGCTTTGAACTGAGATCTTTAGACCTCAGCTTCCTGAGTAGCTAGGATTACAGGTGTGAGCCACTGGCACCTGGCTGGGTGTTTGTTTCTTCTTTTTTTTGTGACAATGTATTGTGCAGGTTCTGGCTGGGGAGGCTTTCTTGCTCCCTCCTTGATCCAGTCATGTTCTAGTTACTGCCAGGCACCCACAACACCAGGCCGAATGGAGCACTTGCAGCAGGAGGAAGAATGAAGACTCACAGGAAATCCACACTGCAGCCAAAGCCGTAACTGGCAGAGCCTTCCTTGGCAGAACAAGCCACAATTGAGAAGAAGATTGTTTTTGAACTTAACTTTAGTTTTTCCAATTTGGAAAAGCCTGTTTAACATCCTGTAGCTTGAGGAATCAAGGGATTTATTATTTTTTTTAGTAATATGCAAAGGAAGAGTGACAAGCTTAAGAAAAATTAAAATAGGAAAAAATAAAGGAAAGCATAAAACACACGTTAGGAAATTAAGAGAGCAAATTGGAAGAGAGCCCAGCCTGAGTAACAAGGTTTCAAAATGTGTCTCCAGGCCGGGATAAAGAGGAAGCCAGAAAGGTTGTAAAGGGGACTGGGGCCAGGCAGGGTCAAGGAAAATCTGGAATTCTAGCCTTCCAAATGGAAGGCTAGGGAAGGGTAGGCTAGAGGAAGGGGTGTGTGTGTGTGTGTGTGATCAAACAAGATCAAGATCCCTCTCCCTCATCTCAAGAGCAAAAGAGATTTCTCCCTCTCTCACCCTCCCCCCAAGACTTGCTAGCTTGCCCTCAAAACCATAGGTATGACAATAATTCCTCCCCCTTTTCTTTTTCTAGAGCTTAACATGTATGAGTTCTCAGGCCATCTGGCAGCAGCCAGAAGTTGATGGAAGCGTTTGTTTCCATGATCTTCCCTGCTGAGTGCTGAGGGACTGTCTGGGTAGCATGATGCCCCATGGAAAGAAAACCCAATGCCCTCCCGTACACTCATCTTCAACTTCCTTCTTCCTTGACCATGACTAACTTTTCCATAGCTCTGATGTCTCAGATTCCTAACAAAGACCGATTCATTGAAAGGAGGGCTCTAAGAGGAGCTTAGTGGGCTGGAGGGATGGAGTCAGAGTAAGGGGAGACAAGACAGGGCTGTGACAAAGGTTTGAGAGGATGGCAAAGTGGAAACAGGTAGAGAAAAGGCTGGGGTCAGCATCACACCTGGCTGGCTGCCTAGGGGGTGGAGCAGCCTGGAATTCTGGGTATATCCCAGACATTCTAAGCTCATGACAAGTCCGAGGGCTGGATTAGCAACCTTGATCCTATTGACAAACCTCATTGCCACTTTGGGTCTCTCTCTCTCTCAACTATATCGGAGCAGGTAACTTCCAAGAGTCTCATCTGTTCTGACCTGCCAGCTTCCATTCAGCTTGGTGGTGGAGCTCTCTGAAGCCAGGTGTCTGGGTTCGAGGCCTGACCTTCTATTTTGTAGCCATGCGGCCTCTGGCAAACTTCTTGGCTTGTGGTTTGGCGGTGAATGGTCTGATACATGTAGTATGTTCACCGGCATCTGGCACATGGCATCTGCTCCTTTGTCCCTGTGTGGACGAGGAGCTGAGCCATCTGAGATGGTGCAGAGGGAAGCTGGCTATGGAGCAACTAAGCAGCAGGCAGCCCCTCCCTCTCTTGGAGATGCTTGAGATGCTGCCTCAAAGGTCTCAACACCATCTCTGGGGTCCTTAGTTTATCCAGAGTCTGATGGGGAGAGCAGGGACTTGGCCCTGGGCAAGCTGCCCCAATCTAGTGCTGTGTGAGTCAGGCCTGGTGCATGCTCTGCTCTGGACCTCAAGACCCATCTCTCTGCTCCAACACAGTTTGGCACAGGGTGTGGCAGAAAGAATTGAACAGTGGGTTTGCAAAACAGTTGCACACCTCCACCCCCCAACCTTGTGACAGCTGGGGAGATAGGTGGGGCTCAGACCAGCCTGGGGTTCCTATGGTGCTGTGGTCTGTGTGCTGTCTGGCTCTTGGCTCCCAGGTCATGGTACATGTGTGCATGGCCTGTTTGAACCTCCTTTGAACCTCCATCTGCCCTCCAGGCCCCACACTGGCCACACTGTACTGTCAGGATTCAGAGGCCTGACTTGACTTACCCCTGACCCTGACTCAGTGGTCCTCCTCTCCTATCTGACATGGCTTACAGATCCCCAGAGCTGTCCATCTGAGCCCCACTCTGGGAGGTAGGGGGATGGGCAGAAAGCTGGGAGCACAGATTCAGGGGGTCTGGCCGAGCTCGGCCCATGCTGGGAGGAGTGGCATGCAATAACCCACAGTACAGTACAATTCCCATCACCTTATCACCTTTCAGTCCGGGCTCCCCCACGCCGCCCATCAGCCCCTGCAAGGCAAAGGCCCAGAGTTGCACAGTCAGAAGCTGAGACCCCAAAGGGATCCAGGAGCTGATTCCCTACCCAGGGTTTAGTTCTAGTGGCCAGCGGAGTGTGGAGGAGCTGGGAGACGTGGCTCTGAGCCTCCACTTTGGGGACTAACCAAGAAGGAGGAAGATGCTGATGGGGTGGGGTGGACCAAACCGGACTGTCCCTGTAGTCTTAGCCTGGTGTGCCTGTCCCCTACCTGCCTTTCCTATTGAGAGATCGAGGTTTACCACTGGCCATTGTTTCCCACTGCCCTGGTGATGTCATATTAGAACTTTTACCGCATTTGTGCTTAGCTCAAGGTCTACGGCATCCAATAAAGGCATGTGGCCTCAATGGCATCTTGGTATCAATGGCCAGAGCAGAGGCTGAGCTCCTGACCAGACAGCATGCCCAGCCCATTTGGGGTTCTCACCCCAGGGCCATCTGAAGCACTTGCTCTCTGTGGGGTGTGACAGACTGGATCTGAACCAGATTTACCTTCATGCCCTTGGGTCCTGGGTAGCCAATCGGACCCAAAGCTCCCATGTCACCCTAGGAAGAAAAGAAGACACAGTGAGGAGTGGCTGCAGGAGGCTGGCCTGGAAGGGTTGGTCCCTGAGGTGCTGAGAGCTGGGCTTCTGAGGACAAAACACATGCCCTGAATATAGATAAAGTCCCTCCCACCGTTCATTTCCTCCAGGTCTGTCTCATACAGATGCCAGCTCAGTCCCCGCCCACCACACCTCATTACAAGTTAGATTTCCATCCCCTGTCACTGAAGGGATTGGGGGCCTCTCATTTGACTTCTTTGCACCTCAGTCTTCCTCTATAAAATGAGGACAAGGAGTCCTCTCACCAGAGCTGCTGCCAGGGCTAAATGAAGCATAACTGGGAACTGGGATCCCGCCAGTAAAACGACAAGGGCACGGCCTGCTACCCCAGAGGCCCACGCAGCTCCTCCACAGAGCGGCAAGGGAGGAGTGAGGCAGCCACTGCAGTGGCTCTGAGGGGGCAGAGATCAGCTTGGGATCTGGGAGGCAGCAGACACAGATCCAGGCAGATCAGAAGGAAGGCTGGGAGCAGCCGCATGCTCTTCACGGAGGAACGTGGCACATCAGTGCCTTAGCTAACAATTAGGGACAGACAAGACCATGTGTCCCGATGCTGTTTCAGAAAAAGAACTGATTAGTAGGTGGGCAGATTGGGAATGTCTAGAGGCATTTTTGGTTATCACAACTTAAGCGGGGGCGGAGGTGGGGGGAGGAAAATACTGGCATCCATAGGACAGAGACTAAGATCCACTGGGCAGGACAGCCACTTTCTCCTATCCCCAGCAAAGAATTAGTGAGCCCTAAATTCAAATGAGCCACGGTTGAGTGAGAGGTCACCCCAGAAGGATCCTTTTCTTTTCTGTTATGGAACCTACTCTCTTCCTCTCTAATGGCACCCCTGTCCTTCCCTTCCCAACCATCCTCAGACATGGTCATCACATGAAGCCTAGGTCCAGAAAAAGAGTCTCTGAGAATATACTATTCTCTCCCTGATTGGCTGAGCTCCGTGTGACCCCAATCAGTTAATTAGTATGATCAGTCTCTCTGTGCCTCAGTTTCCTACCACCCGATTCAGGCTCTTTAGAGGCCCCTGCTGGGCACTCTGGGGTTGAGGCAGCTTAGATGCACTGCCCCAGGTAGCCAGGCTTCAGAATGAGGTGTTAGGGCTGTGTGGTGATATTCGGAAGGCAGCCAAGTCGAGTGGGAAATCACGTTCCTGCCTGCTCCTGTGGAATGGAAAAGCCAAGGAGCCACAAGGAGCAATGAGATTCACAGATGCAGCCTGGCTAGGCTGAGGTGACTCTCAGTACTTCCCTCCTTCACCCCCCAACCTCTAACCACCCCTGCCCCTGAACCCAGACTGGCCTTGGTCCTGCAGGGGACTGGCTGTGTGATCTTGGCAAACCGTCTCCTCTCTGGATGTCCAGGACCCCATCTGACTGGGGTCCCAGCTGGAGTCTCTAATAAAACTAATAAAACCTGCTGCTTCCAGGCCCCACCAAATAAGCCTCAGTGGAATTCAACAGGACAACAGGAGCCTAGGATGTGAGCAACCATGTCAGTGACACACCACCACCGTCGCTTTCTCACATCGATCTCTTCTGTGATGACACCCATTTTAGAGATGAAGAGACTGAGGGTCTTTGAGGTTGGGGGTGCACACTAGGCAGTCCTATGGAGGCTTTCCAGGCTACTCTGCTGTCTGTTTTTGGAGAGGAGGGACATAAGGAAGTGGAAAAAAAAAAAGCCAAATCAACTGGCTGGGGTGGGGAGGAAAAGCCAGTTCTCCAAAGAGAAGTGTGTTAACGATCTCTGCTGCTCTCCTACCCTGTCTGCCCCTCTCCTGGATGAACGTGGCTGCCCACAGTCCCCTTGAGGTAAAACAGAGCAGGCTATGCGGGAGGAGGCTGCTCCCTCAGGCCATGGCTGTGGGCAGGGCACCAGGAACGCGGGCTTTCTTCCATGCTCTGGCCTGAAGGCTGCTGCTATAGGGCTTGTATAGGGCTTGGATGTAGTTCAGGCTGGGAAGCAGAGACGCAGCCCCATGCCCCACCCCCAGAGATCCTGTGTCTCTATGGAGGGGCTTGCTTGTGCAGAGAGGTGAGGCGGGGCAGGGACCTGGTATGAACACAATCACCAGGGGGACAAAATCTGTAGCCAAGAGACCCTGGCTGTGGGGCACTCCAGGAGACAGTAGTAGCTGGCAGAGGGCAGGTCTTCCTGCTGCAGGACATCCCCAGGTTAGCCTACGAAAGCAGGGGAGCAATGGCAGAAACTCTAGACCAATGTCATGAGAAACAATTCACAAAGCATCTGTCTGCGGTGGGAATGTCCTGCCCACCCCCCTCCCCCAAGAAAGAACAATGAGAAAAGCCCTTAACTTAGAGATCCTGATCCCACTCTTCCTCCGGTCTCAAGCACCAAACTACACACTATGCCCATCATCTCTGGACTCATACCACTGCCAGCTACATCTGTAACCATTTCAGGCCTCCTGCTATGCTGGACTCTGGAGGCAGCTTCCAGTTAAACCTTCCTGGGACAGTGCTGCTAGCTTAGCTATTCCTCCAGCCAGCCCATTTCCCAGATGAAGAACCAAGGCATAGAGAAAGAGACAAGCAATAGCCTAGAGTTGGACAATGAGCAGGAAGCTGGGGCAGGACCAAACTTCTGTCTAGCTGTCCCCATGTGAATCCACACTCACAAGCCCTGCTTTGGCTGCTGACCATCCAGGGACTCAGTGCCAATTTCCCTCACTGCTGTTCCTCAGGGGTCTAGGCAGGGGGTTTTCAGGACCCCTAAAGGGAGGCCTTGGGGGCTCTTCCCAGACTCCAAGGCAAACATGGCTACAAGACTCTCCCCCGCCCCCACATGTCTTTCTCCTGATTGAGCTTCCTGTTTTCCGGTGACATATGCTGGACCATGTTCAGCCTGTAATTGGTGCCAAAGCCCATTTGCCTTTATACCCTGGGTGGACATCCCTGTCCTGAGCTCAGTGCCCCATCCTCCCAAGGCCTTGGGCACCACAGCCACTCACAGTCATTCTCCCACTCAACACCACCTCTCACGACTATGGACAGGCACTGGGCCTGGAGACCTTACCTGTGTGACTCCAGCATCCAGCCCAGGGCTGGACAGAAGTGCTTAATGAGTGCCAAGAAGGAGCCAAGTCTCATTACCATACCCCCTAGCAACCTTTTCTGCAGAAAATAGCACCTCTACCTCTTTCCAGAGAGCAATGCGGGATTGGCAGGAGGGGACCGGGGTATTGACCTCACTGGGCATCTTCTCTCACATCAGCACAGCCTGGCACCACCCAACCCATATTCCCACACCTCCACTGTCTCCATTCAGCACCGAGGTCTAATTGCAACAGTGTGGGGAAAGCGAGGAAGAACCTGAACTGTGCACACCGGCTATATGGAAAGTGCTTTGCCATCTCTGAGTCTTGGTGAGGATACCATTCGTACTTTCCCAAGGCTATTGTGACAAATCAACCTTGAGAAGGGGGTCAGGTACAAGAGCCTTTGGGAAATGTAAACTGATTGGCTCCCTGATCTTGCTTTACAAAGAAACAACCCTTTAGAGACAGAATATATGGACTTGTCCACTGTGCCACATGCTGGGGGTTTGGCTGGATCATACGTTCTTTGAGTCTCATTAAAAAGAAGCCAGCCAGGTGCCAGTGTCTCATGCCTGTAATCCTAGTTACTCAAGAGGCTGAGATCTGAGAATCGCAGTTTGAAGCCAGCCCAGGCAGAAAACTCTGTGAGACTCTTATCTCCAATAAACTACTCAGAATAAAAGCTAGAAGTGGTGCTGTGGCTCAAGTGATAGAGTGCTAGCCTTGAGCACAAAGAGGCTCAGGGACAGTGCCCAGGCCCTGAGTTCAAGCCCTATTACCACAAAGAAGAAGAAGAAAGAGGAGGAGGAGGAGGAGGAGGAGGAAGAAAAAGGAGGGGGTAGGGGGGAAGAAGCCAAAAATGCTCTTAATGCTATTGAACAAAAAAAGACAGATAGTTTCTTTGTTGAGCAGATGCTAGAGTCTGGCAGCTTTCCTGTAGGCCAGCCAGGAGGTTTTGATTACTCCAAGCAGCTGTTTCCAGGTTCTGTCACCTAAGATTCTACCGGAAGCCACTGGCAGCTTGCCAGGCCCGGGGACATTCAGGCCAAGCCCCACACTTCTACTTGCTAGCTGGTGGGCATCTCACAGTTCCTAAAGTCCAATGCATATCCAGCACCCCCCAGAGCAGGCAGAGGCTCAATAAATGTTAGCTTATCCTCTCTCACCCTCCCTCCCGCTGTAGGGACTCAGGGGACAGGAAGGCTGGCTGCAGTCTGCATGCAAATGGCCTGTGCTGACTAGACAGGCATGGAATAAACCTGAATTTTACGAAATGATTATCAACGCATGGAATTCTGTTTGCTCAGCTGAAAACCCACATCCTCTGGAAGCCATAGGTGACTCACAGTCCCTTTTCACTTTAACTCCTTGGCAGAGAGTTCCTGTCCAGCTCTTGGAGGAGACCAAGTTTCCCCAGGCACAAAGCTACTGTTCCCCAAACTTGAGCATAAAAAGGGACACGGGCTTAGTTTTCAGTGGTAAAGTAGGGTGGGGGAGGGTATAGCTGAGGTCCAGCCCTATGGAACCCTCCCTCCCCCCCCCCAGGCACAAGGACAAAAAATTCTTCCCTTTGAAGGTGAAGGCAAACTAAATCTCTGGCTACCATCAGTGGTGGCAAGATACATGGACACAAAGGCCGCAGAGCAGTGGAGATGGGCTCACTGGTTAGCTGTATCCATGTCGCAGAATCTGAGAAATGAGTAAGTGCCCGGAACTCTGGCTGCAGCTCATTCCTTAGAAAGAGGCCCTGTGTCCAAGGAATTGAGAGTCATGTCTTCTAATCAGTTCTCCATCCTCTCCTGTCTTCCATGTGACCTTGATCAAGGGCCTCAGTTTTCCCCTGAGCTAACTGAGATTCTAAGAGACAATGGGAATAGTCCGAATGGAAGAGGATCCAACACATAAAATGATGATGCCCAGTTAAATCTGAATGTCTGATAAACCATGGATGATATTTCAATATAAATGTGACCTGTATGTGCATGTGACATTCACATGTAACTGGGTGAATTCTATTTTATCTGGCAACTGTACAGATAAACTGTAAGAATCAGGAGGACCAAGGCAAGGATGGTACAGCCTGGGCATGGCAAATCCAGGCAATAATCGTACCCATATTGGGACACAACCTAGTGGACACTGAGGCAATGACAGATAGTAACACGTGCCAAAGATGACAGCCAGGACGTGTAAACATCCCTCCGGATGGAGGCCAGGATTATTTAGCCTGAAAGAGTCTGGGGAAGAATAAGCCCTGTCCATCTTACTCCTGGACAGCTTCACCAGGGGACAGCAAGGACGATTCAGAAAACACTGAACAATGAGGGCTCTGTTCAGAGAGACTGGGTCCCTAGAAAGAGGGAGTTTCTAACACCTGAGGTGCTGGAGTTGGAGCTTAATGACCATAGGAACATAATCTCCACAAGGGATTCCTGCTGAGCTTAGAGAGAATTGGGCAATAAGACTTCCCAGAATTTCTCTAACTCCCATGGCACACATTGCTTTTTCCAAAACATCCAGGTCAGCACCTTGTGCAGAAGAAGGGGCTTGGTAAAGACCTATGAAAGACAACGAATGTATAATATGTAAGTGTAGTAACAATTTCCCATCCTCAGCGAAGGCAGGCATCACTCATCAATTGCCAAAGACATTGCAAAACTACGGTATATGTGCATGCACATGTGTGTGTCACAGAACAAGAATAACACTAGCTATTATGATAACTGAAACTTCTTGAGTGCTTACTCACAGTGGGTGATTTCTGTATATTAGCTCATTTAAATCCTTATGACAATCCTCCAGTTAAGTACTCATATTATCCCCCTTTTTACAGATGAAGAAACTGAGGTACACAGAGGTTAAGAAGTTTGCTCATGGTTGTGATTAGGTGAGTAGAAGAGCTAGGGTTTGAACTCAGGTAATCTGGTTCCAGCAACTGTACTTCTTTCAGCCACTGGACTTGGCTAGGCTGTGGCATCCGAGATCCTAGCACAAGTGGGTGCTATTTATTGATCCCACTTCCCAGCAAGGCCTATGAGGCTCAAGGAGCTGAGGCAATGACTGAGCTTGACAGAGCCAGGAGGTAATAACAAGATGGGGCCCAGGTTGATTCTACCCCACCAACCCACCTCACTCAGTCTCTGCTTCCACCCACCTGAGCAGGAGCAGGTGGCTAGTAGTGGGCTAGTAGTGGGCTCTGGCCCACTTCTGAGGATTAGCCTTCCATGAGAAATAGGGCACTTCAGACTCTATCTGAACAAATCTCTTTGATACAGTTGCTGAAGGAACAAAGCTGGCCCATTTGTCAATCTAGAGGACGGACTTGTGTCCCCTCCATGGCCTCCAGACTCAAATCCATGAGGAATGACCCTCAGTTTAGAGCAGAGGGTCTCTGCCTTTGTGGGGCCATTCTCCTAGAGTTATTTTTAGGCTCCGGACTGTCTTTGGCCTTTGGGACTAGGCCCAAGATCAAGTCTTGCCTCTAGGCCTGACAATAAGCTGTGGTGCTGCTAATAGAGCCATCCCTGAGACCCACCCAATTTGGATGGAGTTAGAGGCTCTATCCCTCCCATTTCCTATCCAGAGGCCTCTCTGGGCCCTGAGCATTTCAGGATAATATATTCCATTTGGTGAGAGCTTAGTGAATGCCAAGTCCTATGCCAATCATTTGCTTATGCAGTACCTATTAATTGGAACAAGCAAGAATCCAAGAAGATTCTACTTTTAACTCCACTTTATAGATGAGGAAACTAGGGCTCAAGGAGTAAATAACATAGCTCAGTTATATACAGCCATGATGTGGCAGAGTGATGACATCAACCTAGGTAGTTTGGCTCAAAAATCAGTGTTTTCAAGAAAAAGGACAAAGCTGACTTCTCAACACTGGCCAGAGTCTCAGCAACTCTGGTGCCACTTCCTCCCTTGGGATCTGAAGCCCTCATCAATTGACTGGACATACCATCACCTGTAAGTCAATGGGCCAGCAGCAGGCATGCAAATACACACAATCCTGGTGGCAAGCTTGACCTCAGCTAACCAACCAGGAAGCCATCTCAGAACAGAGCAGACTACCTGGGATCACCGGGGGCCACACAGTAGGGTCTGCTCTCTCAGTCCAGTCCTGCCCCTTTTGGGTTTGGTGACAGAGGAGTCTTTTTAGCAACCTTCCCCACTGTTGTTGGCTCCTCAGATTTTGGCTCCATGTGATTCTCCCACCCTGTCCAACACCCCCCTCACATGCCCCCTGTCCCCAGCTGCTAGGTATCTATACTTACAATAAGGCCAGTGACTCCTGGGGGCCCTGGAAGGCCCAGGTCTCCCTGCAATGAAAGAAATCAGAGAGGTTACCTCCTCCTGTACATCTGGCAGGACCTTTTCAAATGGATCTCTCCTGTTCCAAACCACAAGTTCAGGCAATGTTTATAGAATTAAACCAACACACAGTCAGGTGCTGACCATGGACACTGCCGGCCCCAGCTGCTGTGGCTAGGAAACATCAGAAAGACATGGGCCTCCATGGCAGGTATCCCAAAGCTCTAGGCAGAGTCTGTGCCCTTAAGCTAAAAAGGAACTCATCCTGCCAGGGCCTGAAACCTGGACAGAAAGAGAAGAGCAAGCTGAGCTGCTGGGGCGGGCTGACCTGACTGTATGGCAAGGCAGAGTGTGGGCCTCCTACTGTTTACAAACTATAAATACACAGTAGTGAAGACGCCTTGGGAACTCAGGGCTTCTTTCTGAACAGGGCCTGCAAACCTGTTTTCTCTCCAGGCCGTAAACATTTCTGATGCTTTGTAAGAAGGTAGCAGCCAGTGGGGAGTGAGCCCTGTAGGAGAGCTGTAGGACCAGCTTGGAGCTCTGGCTGGGAGATAGAGGTGGTAGGTCACAGGGCACCAGCCATAGACAGGAGCCCAGGTTCAGAGGTCATGTCATTTGTCCATGTGCACTCAGCTAGTAGGCCACAGGCCCTCAAGGCTGGAGCTCCTGAATTCTGCTGTGTTCACTCTGATTTGCTTTCCTAGACACTAGGAAATACTTACAGGATTTCCATCCAGTCCTGGGGGGCCTCTCTCCCCAAAGTCTCCAGGGAACCCCTGAGGACACGAGAGAGAAACAGGAATAGATTAGGGCTTACAGCTTGAGGGTGGCTCAAACCCAGGACCACAAGGGTGATGTCTGAGAAACCATAATCTTTGGATTTGAGGTTTCCCCTACCACTGACATATATAAACCACACACATACAACTATATAGAAAGAGTAGGCCCCATAGTAGCTCTCAATCCAGAACTTGACCCCAGTGGGGTGGGAGGGACATGGGAAGTTGGGTCCAAAACTGGACCAATCACTGACTGGGCTGAGATTTTCAGTGTATTCTTCCCTATCTCCCACCCCAGGCCTCAGTTTACCATTTCTAAGGAGAAGGCTTCACATGTGTGATTGTGATGTGCCCTTCAGAAGCCTCATGGTAGAATCATGATCCTTATTCTTCAGAAAGAATGAAGTTGGGAAAAGGTGAATGGCAAGGTCATACTTAGTGAACCTCAGCACTGGAGAGGGTTACTCCTTTGGGAGCTGGAAGATGCTAGGTCACCAGGGCCAGCTGCCCTTCCCTGAGGCCATTTCCTACTCTCTGGGGAGTAAGCAGCTGGGAGGGAGCCTGGGGGGCCAGCAGTGGAGGGGGGAAGGGTTTATTCCTACTTCAAAGAGAAGGAGCAGCGCTCAGCCTGGAGTGTGGAGAAACCTGGTCTCTCCCTCCGCAAATTGGAATCATGGGGTTTCTAGGGAAATGTAATTTAAAAAAAAAAAACAAAGCACATGTTTCTCTGACCAAGGGAAAAGTGAGCTGTGCAGACAGAAAAGATCTGTGGTTTGGGTTTCTGAAACTACTAGAGAAATCCAGCGAGTACACCAAATCCAAACCAACCATGCAGAGTCTCTACTGGAAGCAGAGAACCTGAGATGTGTGTGCATGCTCCCAGGACTTTGGCTTCCCATCCCTCCTCCTTTTCTTCCTCTTCCTTCTCCTTGTCCTTCTTCTTATTGATTGGCAGCGGAGAGGTGGCATGACCCCTAGAGCAGGGATTGGGGCCCAAAGATGGGATCCAGGCCTGCTGGTCACTCTCAGACAGAACTGTAGCAGCTCCCCTGTTACTCCTTCCCACACCTGGGAGGCAGGTAGATGTCAGCCACAGGCATGCTGGGGACCACTCTATCAGCTCCTTGAAGCTAGGAGTTGGATCTTTTTTATGGCCCCTAGAGAGCCTAGCTCAACTGCTGCACAGAGAAGAACAGGCCACCAGCCTAAGGCCACAGGTGCCCCTGTAGTTACAATCTCTCCCACTGTTCCTTCCTCCACCTCCCACAGCAGCTGACTGACCACAGGTCTGAGTGGTGAGAGACCAAGTCACCAATGTCCTGAGTCTGCCCACCCAGCAGAGGGACCTCAACATCTCCCTCCACCTCTGAAACTTCAGTTAATGAAATGACTAGAATAAGTGACTTTCCTGGCAGGGGAAAGCTGTGGGAAATCTACTTTTATAACATCAGCACGAAACAGAGATGCTGAGTGGCAGCCCACACAGTCACTGAAACAGAGGACCCTGGGGACAAACCCATTGAACTAGATCCTTGCCCCATTGTTCACTTGCTGTGAAGCCTTGAGAAAGTGACTTAACCTCTCAGTGCTTCGTTTTTTCTTTATGCATGCAGATGATCAAACTAGAGGAGAAACCATCTTCTACCGCAACAGAAAAGCATAAACAAAGCCAGATGACCGAAGGAATCCTGGATCTTCCATACCCTCATGTTCCACCTTGTATGTGCATGAGTAAGAATGGACAGAGTGAGAGACATGGGGCCCTCACAGAGTAGCCAAGTCTCCAGCAGCAGCAGCAGCAGCAACAGCAGCTCAGCCCACAGGCCTAGGACTCCTGCCTCCAACACTCAGAACGCTGGCTGAGCAGAACAGGGACAATCCCTGCCTCAGTGGAGAGGACAGTGCGGCCGGTGGGAGGAGCGGGGAGGGAGGGGGTCCCCGTAGAGTCTGTGTAATATAATAGACACGGAAAATCTTTACCGGCCTACCCATCTTGCCCCTCTTGCCAGGAACGCCAGGTACACCCTGAAGAGGGAAAGACAAGGAGAAGTCAGGACAGGGCCTCGACAGAGTACTGCCCCTAGCCACCCCTGAGAGGAAGTCCCAGACTTCCATGTACACAGTGAACTATACTATGTACACAGTAATAGCAGTGACAGACACAGTAAGTCAACAGTCCTCAGACTCTTTGAGGCTAGGGCTTTGTGGACCTACAAGGGGAAAACACTCAGTGCACCTGGCATTCACCAGGTGCTTACTAGGTGCTCTTTCTCCAAGATGCTCTGCACCCTACTAGCCCCAGCTAAGGCTAGGAAGGGGCAGGAAGACCATAGGCCCCAGGAGCTCCTCATGGGTAGAAGGCTGAACCAGGAGCCTGTGGGCAGCAAATACCCTGGTCCCTTGACTCCCCTGACTGACACTGGTCTGGGAAGATACAAATGCTGGGAATCTAAGCACCCCAACCACCTGCAAGTCAACCACCATCTTCTTCAGGGCCCATCCTGTCTCATGTATTTATTTATTTGTTTGCTTGCTTGTTTGTTTTGTGCTAGTTGTGCCAGGGCTTGAACTCAGGGACCTGGGCGCTGTCTCTGAGCTTCTTTGGCTCATGGCTAGCACTCTACCACTTGAGCCACAGAGCCACTTCCAGTTTTTTTTGAGTAGTTTATTGGAGGTAAGAGTCTTGGGGACTTTCCTGCCCTGCCTAGGCTGGCTTCAAACAATGATCATCAGACCTCAGCCTCCTGAGTAGCTAGGATTACAGGTATGAGCACCCAATGCCCAGCTTCATCTTGTCTCTTAATGTACCTTCGGGCCAGTGACAGTCAGGCACTCAGGTCAGTCTCTTGCCTTTCCCCTCACCTAGAGCACCCCATCCCACCTCGTGACGCTGACACTAGGTCTGCCTCCAGCCTCTTCTAGCCTTAATTTACTCAAGTGAGCTGAACCACCTAGGATGGGGACAAGGGGCATCTGTGCCAAGGGACAGGGTGACTGTGAGTTCTGTGCCACTTGGCCGGACAGCAACCATGGGCCATAGTAACCAAACAAGCACGGCTGTGCTCAATAAAACTTCATTTACAAAAACAGACGGCTCGCCCTCATTTGCAGAGCTCTGTGGCAGGATCTAAAGGAGCCTGTTTCTCATTTGCCGAAAGCTCTAGAGAGGTTCCCCAGAACTGAGTCCCTTTGCTGACCTTGGTTCCCTGAAACTTCATAGGAAGTGCTCCCCATAACCCACACCCTCACCACTCAGTGCTCTGATGGAACTGATGGTCGGGATTGCCTGACTTTACACACACAGCTCCCTCTGCCTGGTGGGTGAGCACTGTGACCTACCCCCTTCCCAGCCTCCAATGCTCCTCAAGGGTAATCACCTCCAGGAGGTCGCTGTGACTCCTCCCAGCCTGCCCCTGGCCCATTCTGCTTTGCATCAGGAGGGAGTGGGAGATGGGCAAATAACCGATAGCACAAACTTACCCGTTCTCCATCAGACCCAGGCAGGCCGAAGAGCCCTGGCAGTCCGATGTAGCCCTAGGAAAGAGCAGGAGGTGGTCAGAGCCCGAGCAGAGAGATGCAGCTGTCCCTGTCCCAGCCCACCCTCCATGCCATCCTGCTGCCCAGTCCTCCTCCTTGCTGGCGGCAGTGGTGGCTCCGGTGGTCCTCGATGACAAAGGCCTTGAGGCAAGTGTATATGCCCATGGACTGCATGGTGCTGGCTTCCACGATGTAGTCCAAAGGCACATACCCTCACACCAGGGAAGGGCACAGGCGCTGCGGGGGAGGCCCGCCCCAGCTGAGCCGGGCTCTGGAACCTGCAGAAGGAAGCCAGCCTAGCCCTGGGTTACATGCTAGAGCATTCCCCCGCCCTTGGGATGCTGCTGGGGACGAAGCCCTCTGCAGTGGGCTCCTCCTGGGCCCAGAAAGTTAAAACCCACCAAGTACTGTCAAGAACAGCTGCCCGGTGGAGAGCAAACAGTGCCAGCCACATGGTCACGGCTGCATTAAACTTTCAGGGACCTCCCAGACCAGCTGTTACCTCCTCCCTTCCCACTGGACACACAAGGACAGAGGCTCTAGAGAGAACGCAACAGCTGGTCATGGGTACAGCCGGGAGACCCCTTAGCAAGTCCCTAAGTAGCACAAGGGCCATCCTGGCCCAGCAACACAAGAGCCAGGGTGTGTGAAGCTCAGGCCCAGAATGCACCTGGTGTTCCTGTACCTCGTCAGCCGTGTCCTTTCCAGGACTGCAGAGACAAATCCTGTGGAGCCTACCTCCAAGGCTCACTCCTGACCCTTGAGCCAGAAACCCTGGCCCCTCCACCCCATGCCCTGTTTGCACCCAGTTAACAGCAGCTGACTGTCTCCCCTAGCTTCTCCAGCGTCTGTGTCCTTGTATCTTCTTCTCATTAGCTTGAGAATGCCTTGAGGGCCAGGACCTAGGCCAGGACTCCTACCACTCTGCACTCTCTTGAAATGTTTGTGCAGTGAGGTACTGGTAATTCTAACATAAGCTAATGTTTAACAAGCACAAGCTAGGTGGCAGGCCTAGCTCACAGAGCTCTGTGTCCATTAAAGCATTTACTGCATCCTCTCCACACCTCCAAGGAACAAGAATTATTATTAGCATGATTGAAGCGAGAACATGTAGGCCCCGAGATGTGAGGTGACCTGCTTAGGGCCACACAGCTGGAATGTGGTAGAACTAACATTTGAATGAACTCATGGGGCTCCAGGGCTTGAGCTTCTAACCGTTCAGCTATAGAACCTTCCACAAATGAGTAGCCAAGAATGGCTTATCATCACCTGCACATCCAAAAGATCCCTTCATCTCCCTCCCTCCCAACACTCATCTCAAAGAGAGACATTTAGCAAACTTTTCAAGTAGGGCTTATATCCTAGAGTCACAGATGAGAAAGTGACCCAGTGATTCCAGGAACTCAGAGCCAAGAAGTGGCTCAGCAGGTCTCAAGGCTGGGCACCCAGGCTCCAAACCCTTGCTGGGCTTTTCCTACTTCATAACTACAAGGCTGATGGGTGGCAGAGCAGCTTAAGTAGTCCAGCTTACCTGGCTGCCCTGAGCCCTGTGACTGAGGAGACAGGAGGGCCGGGGCCAAGGTGGCCTTCAAGATGCCAACTGCATGGCTAATATCAGGCTACCCCCAGGTCATCAGCAGGTCCTGTTCTCCCAGATGGGGACTAGGGGCTAGCTTGAGATTTCTCCCAGGGCTCAGTTTTTGTTTTGTTTTGTTTTTGATCGGTCGTGGGGCTTGAACTCTAGGTCTGGGCACTGTCCCTGAGCATTTCAGCTTCAGGCGAGTGCTCTATCACTTGAGCCACAATGCCATTTCTGGTTTTCTGGTGGTGAATTGGAGATCAGAGTCTCACAGACATTCCTGCCTGGGCTTGGCTTTGAACCTCGATCCTCAGATCTCAGCCTCCTGAGTAGCTAGGATTACAGGCATGAGCCATTGATGCCCGGCTGTCCCAGGGCTCAGAAGGATACTACAAGACCATAGGTCCTAAGAGCAGCTGGATCAAGAGGAGGGGCCCAGCATCCCCAGGACAGGAGCCCTGTCACATCATAAAAACTTCCCGCTCTGACTGGGGTCTGTGAGACCTAACTTCAGAATGTTACCTGAGCAGCCAGTGTTACCAACTGTGGCCCTCCCTCCAGCCCTGCCTGTACCTCCAGTGTGCAGCATGAACTGAGGCTGTCTAGCTCACAGCGACACCAGAGGCACTCAAGTTCCATCTTGCCTGATCTTACCAGCTCTATCCATCCAATCCAATTCACCGAGAACCTTCTCCAACTCCCCATAGTCCTTACTGGAGTCCCATAGGGCAGCCCTCACCAAAGTAAATTCCTGGTACCCCCCACCTCCAGCCCACTGGTAGGAATAGACAGCACACTGTCATTGTAAAGGCAGCTAACCCGAGGCTGATGGAAAGACAGGTAACCACTCAGAGCTTGCTCCCTGAGGGCTTCAGAAGAGGCTATTGGAAATGCCATCAGCCTCCAGCCTTGGCAGCATCGCCCACAGAGCACCACGGCCTTCCATCAAAGGTGGCATCCCAACTCCCAGCTAGGATGAATGGCCTAGTAACAGGCCTCAGTAAGTATTCAGACCTTGACTCCTGGTCATTTGGAATGAAAGAGGACTCAGCAGGCAAATGCCTGATGTTTGTAGCTGGGTCACAACCCACCCCAGCAGAGCCTGGACTGCTCAGACTGCTTGATCCTCAGACCCAGCAGCTCCTAGACCAGGGGTCTTCGTTTACTAGTGCCTTGCTGCCCCAATCTCTAGTTAATCCAGATGGGCAGGACTGGACCTAGTACCCTCTCATGGCCCTGACTGCCCATCAAGCCCAGTGGAAAGACAAAGGGATGCCCACTCAGGCCCCACACATAGGTGGCATTGTGGAAGGACCACTTACCCGGCTGCCTTTGGGGCCAGGCTCTCCTACAGGTCCGGGTAGCCCCTGAAATAGAAAAGACAGAGGGGGAAGGACATATGGAGATGCCCTTCTAGCCGCCAACATCCCCAGCGAGTCTGGGAGAGTCCCATCTCCTGGCCTCAGCTGCCTTTCTGGAGAACGGGGTGGGGGAGAACAGGAGTCTTCCACCCAAGTGCCCCAAACCACCCAGTGTGGCTCAGGGGGGCCCTGGGTGGGAGGAGCCTCAGGAGCCCCATTCTACCCCCAATTCCTTACTGAGTGTCCCAGCCCTGATGCCTGCTGAGAAGAGCTGGCTTGATCCAGACCCCTGGACAGCTCTTTCTTTAGGGCACAGCTCCTCAGCCTCAGCCCATAGCCCCCCACTGCCTGGGGGCACCAGTGGCATCTCCACCACGGTCACAGAGCTTCCAGAAGCCATATACTGCACCTGCCTGCCAGGGTAACCTTTGGCCCCTGGGCTGCCCTCAGCTCCCAGCTGCCCCTGCAAAGAACAGAAAAGAATGTAAGGCAATGAGAGACTCTGCCCAGCTCAGGTGACAAAAGACCAGGAAAGGACAGGAATGAAAGGCAAGGCCTGCTGGGGCCATGCCCACACCTCTCTAAACTGACCAGCCTCACTCTGAAAGAAACATTCTGTGCGCCGGGCACTGGTAGCTCATACCCATACTCCTAGCTACTCAGCAGGCTGAGGTCTGAGGATTTCATGCAGTTCGAAGCCTACCTGGGCAGATAAGTCCTTGAGATTCTTATTTTCAATTAACCACCAAAATGTCAGGAGTAGACCTGTGGCTCACGTGGTAGAGTACTCGCTTGACAGAAAAGCTCAGGGACAGTGCCTAGGCCCTGAGTTCAAGCCCCAGAACCAGCACCAAAAAAAAGCCTTCTGTAAGAAAGCCCTCTGTAAGAAAGCACGGAGGGGGGGCTGGCTAGCTCCCCGCTGGCAGGACTGCTGTTTGACTTGGGCCAGGACAGCCCAAATTCCTGCAAATCCCAAGGCAGGCGGGTGGCGGGGATAATATCCCCTCACACTGCCTGGGACAGGCCGCCTATTCATGGCTCTAAGTGGAGCCAAGCAACTCAGCTCATGCCAGCCCAGGCCAGGCCTCCTCAGGGACTCTGGTTCTTCCAGGCCCATATGGCTGGAGCTTTTGGGGGGTGGGGGGGTACATGGGCTTCAGCAAGGTAGATAACAGGGCAGCCAGGCTCTGGGGATGTAGGGGGTCCCGAGCAGTCCCTGGAGAGCCAGGGACTGGGAGGAGGGAGAGTGAGCGATACAGAACAGGTCAGAGGCCTTACCTCTTCTCCAGGGTGTCCTGCGGGTCCAGGATAGCCTTTGTGTCCCTGTGGGGAGGGGTGGAGAGGTACATCAGGTCAGAGGGCCCACTCCACCTGTGGATGGCAGGGTCCAGCCTCTGCAGCCCTGGCTGGACACTGCCAGTCCACTCAGGGTTGTAGGCTGTAAACACTCAGTAAACCATCCCCTTGTGGACACTATGCTGACACTGCCAGGGGTGGCAGAGCCCCCACAGTCATGTCTGCTCTCAGCAGCTAATACACCTTGCACATTTCACGTCACAGAAGAAGCGGTGACAGACAGATCTGTGGACGGATGGACGGGTAGAACACCACGTGAGGTGGGCTGCTCTCGCCTGTCAGCTCTGCTGTTTCACACCCATGACCACCTCTATTAGAATACCCAAGACCACAGTCTCGCTCCTGCTGCAGGGCCGCAGCCTGTTCCTGAGAAGAGACTTCCCCTAGCTCCTGCCTTACTGTGTGACTTTGGATGGGTCATTTCCCTTCTCAGGCCCCCAGATGGGGTGGCTGAACTCTGAGTCTCTGCTGGCTCTGATGCTTTGGAACTCAGAGTTCTGACTCCCCTAGAGTCTAAAACACAGACAACACCGACAAGATACGCCAGGTGAGCGTGCCCGCGCACACGTGTGCGTGCACACATACACACACACACACACATACACATATACATACTCACACAGCACTCCTCAGACTCCCAGGATGCAGTCCTCTTATTTATAAACATCAGGGCTTGTGTGATCTGAGAGGCCCAAGGGGTTTACCAGTGAAGCATCTGAACCCACTCACACCGCATCAAGACAGCTCAGCTGTACAGCTGGGCAAGATGCCTCCACCTGGGGCCCAGGCTCTGTTTCCAGCAGACACATTGGGCCACAAACCATGGCTGGCAATGTGCATCAGACTGGCCTGGATTCTAACACTGCTCTATATAACTGGCTAGCTGTGAGACACTGACTCTACAGTCCTGAGCCTGGTTTCCCTCGACTGTAAAATGGGGAGGTATGGGCCAGTACATGCGTTTAAACACTCAACATAATATCTAACATAGAGTTCAAGGGCCCTGAAAAAGCGAGCTGCTGACTGCCAAGATCTTCCATTTTCATTGGATTATTCCTTCAACAAACAGTCCAGTCAGAGCGAACAAGTGCAAAGGCCCTGGGTGTTCTCTGAGGTCCCAGGGAAGCACAGGGAGGCTTGTGTGAGCCGCAGCATGAGCAAGGATGGTCAAGACCCAGCATTCAGACAGCAGCCAACCAGAGCTTGAGCAGCAGCAAGAAGCTGAGCCTTCTACCAAGTGCTGTGGGACTCAGCATGAGCAAGCCCCCTCTCTGATCTCATTCTGCCCTCCTCTGCCTCCTCAAGGGCAGCTACAAAGAGCCTTCTGGGGGAGGAGAGGAACCTTAAGAGAACCATGAAGGGGGCATCCAGGAGCCTTTGGCCCTCAAAACAAAACAAAGACAAACAAATGCACCAAAATCACCTGCATCAGAGAATGCATCATGGCCAGCCCTCAGACAAGCTTTGCACAAGCATCTCAAATGCATCAGTTGGCTGATTCTGCACCCAGGAACAGAAACTACCATGCACACTTGCCAGTTGAAGAAATGGGTGAGAGAGGGGGGGGAGGGGGAGAGAGAGAGAGAGAGAGAGAGAGAGAGAGACTCTCCAGAACAAGCTGTCTGGGGGCAGCACCAGAGTTTTGACCTTGACCACAAATCACTGAGGCTAAGGACTGCCAGGAAGGACCACCCAAGAACCTCCACCCCACCCCACCCCCATCCTGCCCCAGCCAGGAGATGAATCTCCTGAGACAGATGCTCTTGGGGCAGAGGTCAGCCAAAGAACTCAGGAGCATCTGAGCTGGGGCGGGGGACCTGAGGCATCATTTCAACAACCTTCCGAGTGATCACTGAACAGAGAGAAACTGCGGCTCAAAAGTGATGATAGAACTGGTGCAAAGTTTCTTAGAAAGTGATGGCCAAGCCTAGACTGTTCCCCAGGACTCAAGAGCCCTGAAGGGCTATGAGCACTGCTTCTCAGAGCACTGCTCTCTGGGGCTGACAGGGAGCAGCACAGACTGTGAAGTCAAGGCGGGGCCGGGGGGAGGGGGCCTGGAACCACCTCGGCAATGTTTACTAAGCGGAGGCCAGCAAATAGCTTCAAATGACAGGGCTTAGGATGAAACCATTATCTTTTCTGGACTCAACAATTATGGGGTGGGCATGAATGGAAAGGTGGACCTGTGGGCAGTGATTTCCTGTTGTAAGCGGTGCCCAATAGGCCCTGGGGCAGGGGGACATAGGGAGGAGAGAGCTACCCAGAAACTCCAGGGACCAGTGTCTGCAAGGGGCCGCCGGCTGCTGGCAGGCGGGTCTCTACAGGACCTGTGTTTATAATAGCACGAGGTCTCTATTTTGGTTTGGGAGCCAGATTAATCACTGCTTACAATGCACACACGGAGAAACCAGACATCACCTCACTGTTGCTACAGACAGTCGCCCCATCTGTCCCGCGGGGATGCTATTTGGGTTCTGAGCAGGGGGTGAGGGGTCTTGTCCTTGCCTGGGGGGTCTAGATACCAACATGTGCTCAGAGTTCAGCAGCTAGCTCACTGGGTTCCTTCTCAGCCTTTGGAGGCCTCAGCCTCCCTGGGAGTAAAACAGACTCACCAGTCTTGCTCTACACGCTGTGGGCTTCCCTCTAGACTCACCCACCTGCCACCCTGGAAGCCCACACCCCTCTTGGGCAGGTCAAAGAGGAAGAAAGATGTCCAGTGGAAGAGGGCCTTGGGATGTGATTCTGCACAAGTCCCTGCAACATGTCTGGGCCTCAGTTTCCCTAGCTGGCCTCTTAACATAGCCTGTTGGCTCAGAAGTTGCAGGATTTTGAGATTGATGGCTGGTCTAGAAGTACAGATCATCAGAACCGACCTGGTATCAACACTAGATTCTGCTCTGTGGAAGACCTCATTTCCTTATGGCTCATTCATTTATCCACGTATTCATTCATTTAGCAAACATTTGCTGAACCCCAACTATGAACAAGACCTATGGTAAGTGTTAGGGCTACAGTAAACACATACTCACTCCATACCTTCTAGAAAGGGGCATCAAGGACATAAGTAGAATGGAAGAGAGGAACCAGGTACTTCAGCTGGGGGGAGGTGTACATTGGACTGGAGGGAAAAAGGTGGGGAAGGAAATAGGGTAGCACGGGAGAGAGGCTAGTGGGAATAAGCCATGGGAGCTGGGAGTCCCTTAGTAGAAGGAAAGCCTGAAGGACATTCTCCTAGGTGCTCTACAGAACTAGAGGTAGAGACAGTGCCCTAAATTTTAGGGTAGGCCTTACATGGGACAGCTTCCCCTCACCTCCTCTATATATAGCATGTCTCTTCCCCCACCCCCATCATCACCAAGGTGATGCTGAAAAGCTACTCTTGAGCCGACCAGGCAAGGGAGCTGCCTACAGGAAGAATAGGTTCCATTCCAGACTCTGGTGTCCAGGCCCCTGGTCCTCTTCTCTGGCCCTTTTGATGGTCAGAGCTGTCCCATGCCCTGCCCCACCCTCTGAATGACTGGTCTCAGCTCACCGCAGACCACACTTCTCTACACATTTGACTGGCTGCTGAGCCAGAGGTGTATTTCAAATAAGTGTTTTGATCAATGGTCTTCTGATGCACTGAAGCTCTTTCTCAGCTTCAGAAAGTTGCCTGTCCCAGCTCAGGTGAGCTGAGTCCTCTTGACTGTGTGTTCTCAGCCTCTCTGGCCATCATCTAGTGAGAGCAGGGAGCTGTAGACTCCCCTCTCTCCAGCAGGAACTGATCCAGATCTGCTTTTCCCATCTCCCCAGACCTCTGCTGGCTTCCTATCCCATGCAAAGAGAGACCACCACAGGCTGCTTTATGAGCCAGGACTGGAAGGAGCCTTTCCACTCACACTTCATCCATCAGAAAGTACTAGAACACGGGGGGGGGGGCAGTGAGCTGGGGAGCCTCTCACTGTGCCAGGAGGGATGATGTTTCCTAGCTTGCAGACAGCTGTGGAGGAGAAGGAGATAGGTGGCCATGGGTTTCCAAGCCCCCTTCTGCCATGAGGACCTTCAGGACAGGGATAGGAACTAGGTGGGCCAGGGAGCTGGCAGCAGGGAGCCAGGGCCCTAAGCCCATACGTCTACCAGACAGCTCAGCAGCAGCAGGAGATCGTCCTGTACAAAGTGAGTGACCCCAATTGTCCTTAAACCATTTCCCAAACATCTGCCCTCCACAGTAGTAGGCTCAGCGGGGAGAGCCAGTCTCCATGTGAACGCCTTGGTTGAAGAGGCGGGATCCAGGGCTGGAAATGACTGCGCTAAGCTGAGCAGGTGCTGACTGACAGGTGGGAGACTGGGTAGTCTGAAGTGGGGTGGGGGCTCCCAGGAGGCACAACTAGAGCACTGTTGAAGGATGGGGATACTCGCCACAGAGTCAAAGAGGAAGGAGATCCAAGGCACTGTGTACCATCTAGGGAAACAGAAACTCTTCCACTCCCCCCCACTCCCCCCACTGGGGTCCTGAGAAACTCAGTACCTGTGGAGACCAGCCAGCTGGGATGTGACTGGGGACATTCAGAGAGCATGTGGCCTCCAGAGGTCACACCCTCCTCCTGTAGCCCATTAGCAAGGGAAGAAAGTTTGACTCGAAGTGGCTACCAAACTGCCCTGTTACCCAACCAGAAAATGGCAGAGGAAAGCAGGCGCAGAATCCAGGTTCCTCTGACTCCTGCCCCAGGTCCTGGCCATGCTGAGCAGGGAAGGGACCACTGTCTCCATCTCACATGGGAGGAAGGAGACACAGGTCCAGGGATGGAAGAGCTAGACTTCTGCAACCACAGGCTCTGACCGATCCATAGAGCTCTCCGTCTCCTCAAGCATCCTTACAAGCAGCCCCTCAGAAAACAAAGCAAGCCAGGACCACCCTTCCTCAGCCCTCCCTAACCACAAGGGTGTGGGGAACACCCCATGACAAGGTCCACTTGGCCCCCTGCAAACCCACCCCTTAGAAACTCCACACCTCCCACCAGCACACCCTGTGCCCAAGGAGGCAGGCCAGGCCAGGGAGAGCAGACGGCCCTCAGTGCTGCTGCCAAAGTCTGGCTTGCTGGAAAGCCATGGCCACGCTGCAGAGCCCAGACATACCTTCCGTCCCCGCGGTCCTGGATCCCCGGAGAGCCCAGGCAAGCCCATGTCACCCTGGAAGACACAGGCAAGGGGGTTAGGCAGGGGCAGGCTGAAGATGCTTGCTAGATTGAAGCCATGCTATCTACAACAAATCATAGAAAAGCCCCAGAGGAGACTCAGAGGAAAGCAAGAGGAGTAAGAGTGGAGGGGTGCCGGGACTCAGGCCCTTTCAACTCAACCTGCTTTTTAATCCTGAGCTTTAGGAAAAGCCAGCACTTGCAGAATGCATTCTGATGCTGAAATCATGGCTTGAACCACACTCCAGACAGAAAGCACCTGTCCTGCATTCCAGTCTGCTCTTCCCATTGCTGGTCATAGTGGACTCTAAGTAGGGGGGACTTGAAAGCAGGAGACTTGAAAGCAGGCCAGGCAGGAGCATGAGACAGGCCCAGGCTGCCAAGCTTCTAACAAGCCAGCCAGGTGGGGTGTTTTCTCAGAGTGTAAGCTGGTCATTCTCCCTGGCTTATAAGGCTCTGGGGAGTATTGAAGGGGAGTGCATATGGACACCATCCAGGGTCCCAGGTCTCCCCAGCCAGGTTGACTGGATAAACATAGTTAGGGGAGAGTATAAAGCACTGAGCCACTTGTGACTCAGGGAAAGCAAAGGCAGGAGCTGCTTGCCTGGTCCTCACATAACAGCTCAGTTTTCGAGTACCATCCTGGCAGTCAGGATAGCCCTGATTCACAGGATAGCCCTGTCCACAGGAAAGATGGACAGACACAGCATCCTTATAGTACAGTACATAAAGCATAGGGTGAACTCGCCTTGAGCTCTAGGCCCCTGGATTCACCTCTGTCCCTGTTAGGCCACAGGATGGCTGCTTCAGGGAGGGAGAGTCCTTGGCTCAAATGTTTTAGCCTGCACAGCAGACTTGCGGTATGGGAGTGAGCAAGCTTTAAAGGCCTAGCCCTTTCCTGTCTACCTCCTACAAGTCTACAGACCATCTGCTTTGATCAACAATCTAAGGTGGAAGCTTGGAAGCTATTGGACATGGGTGCCAAGAAGCTAATGCCAGGTAGGCACCGGTGACTCACACCTGCAATCTTAGCTACTCAGGAAGCTGAGATCTGAGAACTGTGGTTTGAAGCCAGCCCAGGTAGGAAAGTCCACGACATTGTTACCTCCACATAAGTATAAGAAGCCAGAATGGGAACTATGGCTCAAGCAGTAGAACACTAGCCTTGAACACAAAAGCTCAGAGACAGCACCTAGACCCACCCCAGGACAGACAAAAAAAAAAAAGTAATGCCAAGGTCACTTCACAGGCTATGCAGAAAGCTCTTCAGAGCACTGAGCAAAAGGCTGTTCACCAAGGTGTGTCGATAGCCAAAATCTTTTCTCATTTTCACTTGGGATGAAGGCACTGGGGGTAGTCATGGCTTGGTGTTGAGAGAGCCTGAAGGATTTCAAGGAAGAAATGAAAAGAAAAAGAAAGAAGCCACCCCAACCTTTCCAGACTTGTCCATCCCCCTGTCTCTGACACACACAACCTCTGCCACAGCATCTGCCTGAGGAGGGTGAGGCCACGTTCCTTCTTCCCTTGAGCACTGGAGTCTGTGGAACCTACCTTTGCTCCATCGTGGGCCTGGCCTGGTGAAAGCCCCGGATCTCCTTTCTGTCCCTGAAACAACAAAACAAGTCTGCTTTAACCATCCAGTCATCTAGAAAGGATGCTCACTTCCTGCTCCCCTGCTTCAGTACCTCCCTATCAACCCCCTGTGCCCCAGAAGGAATTCCATTACTCTTCTACTCGAACTCCTTCTATAGCTCACACGAACTGCAGGAAATCCAGATGCTGTCTTTTTTCTTTTTTTTGGGGGGGGGGTCCAGTTGTGGGCCTGAACTCTGGGCCTGGGCGCTGTCCCTCAGCTCTTCAGCTCAAGGCTAGCACTCTACCACTTGAGCCACAGCACCACTTCCGGCTTTTTTCTTTTTGCTTATGTGGTACTGAGGAATTGAACCCAGGGCCTCAGGCATGCAAGGCAAGCGCTCTACCACTGAGCCACCTTCCCAGCCCCGTGTCTCATAACCCCGTGTCTTTCATAACCTTGGCTCCTGCCCTCCAGGCCAAACTCTTCTCTCCTGCCACCAGCCAGTTTCACAGAGAGGGAGTCTGGCTTCTTCATCAGACCACAGCCACCCTCTCTCCGTCGCGCCATGCACCATCATGCCACTTGCTCATGAGGTTGATCCACTTAGAAAATCTGCCTGGGTCACCAGCTGTGTTCTTCACCATACAGCCCAATGGGCCTTCGCCTTCCCCAGCCCATCCCTCAGGTAACCAGTCCACCTGCATGTGTTGCCAGGACTATCTCTTTTCTGCTATTCCCTCTAGGCTCTCAGAGGGTTTCTGTGAAAGGCAGGGAGAGATTTCTATTTTCTCCCAGGGAGTGGGTCGTCACCTCCTAAGGACAGTCACTCATTGGTACACTGCCATGAAGGTTACCTTATGTCGCTTCCATGCTAGCTAGATGGAATGAATGGGGAAGGGACCTGGGATTGTCCTTGTAACACAATTGGGGAAACTGAGACCCCTGTAGGAGGCCCTAGATGTGGCACTGTCAGAACTAGAACGGGAGCCTGAAATGTGACTCCAGGCCTATGCTCCTGCCCCACAAGTCGGACTAGACAATGAACTTGGGGAGTCAGAAGCATGAACTGTACACCCTGCACACAGGAGAGTCCTGTCACCAGTACCTTGAGCTCAGGCCCTGGGTGCAAGGCCTAGAGTCCACCCAGTATTTCCCATGGGGACAATTAGCACCCCAGTTTCTGGCCCCCATTTTCTCAAACACGACCATGTTACTCAGAAAGCAGCACCTAAGATGTCAGTCAATACTGATATCATCTACTAAGAGCTCCCAACTCCCAACCTGTCCCCCCCTCCCCTGGCTCCTAAACCTGAAGGGCACAGGTCAGAGGTCCTGAGGGAAGCTCTGAACCTCACAGAGGCTCACAGTGGGACCCGGGAGGGAATTTAATCTCTGTGAGCCTCAGTTTCTTCACCTTGCAAAGGGGCTCAAGCACACACATAGGAGCACATGCATGTACATGCACGCAAGTACACACACATGCTCTTGGGTACGCTGGCTTCCTAGATTTGCAGGCTGGAACCCATGGGCCATGCCATGTGGGAAGACTAGCTTAGCCAACTTTGTTTAATTCCCACTTGATTCTTCATCAGAACTCAGAACTTCCAACCTCACTGACTCCACCAGAAATCTCCCATTCCAACCCCCCAGAGGAAAAGGGATAGCCTTTTGCTGCTCTCCTAATAGGCTCAGGTATGGTGAGGCATGTGCTATACACAGCCTTATAGCTTCCAGCATAGGGCAAGAGTGGGCTCTCACCTCATTTGGAAAGCCTGGAGGCTTCTTTCATAATCCCTTTCCTCACTTTTCCACCATTCCAGCTCTCAGGCCAGCTGCCTGCCACACATTGAAGGTCAGCTCTACCCTGCTGGAGCCACAGAACCCCAACCCCACCTGCACCCCTTTGGCTCACTTTTGAAGATCCTCACCTCCAGGATCCACCTGCCCCTGCAGCTTCCTCTCTAGACCCTCCCCCGCCCTTAGCTGCTCAGGAGCTCAGTGCTATGCCTTTTATGTCCTCGGTGCAGTGCAGCGAGGCTTGGGCTACTAAGGATTCCTGTGGCCAAAAAAGGATGAAGCTTCTCCTCACCCAGCCTGTGCCCACCTCGGTCCACAGCTGACAGATGAGTTGGCATACAAAAGTTGGCAGGCATGGGTCTTTGAGTCCCTTGCTCGGTCGTTTTACAAAGCAGGAAATGATGCCCCAAAGAGATGACAGTCTTGATCCTTGGTCCAGAGCCCACAGCATTTTAGTTATGTGGGGTTTCTCTCTACATTCCCAACAGCAGTAGTATGTGGGGCATAATCTCTGCCCAAAGATATTAATAAAGGCAGATATCAGCTGGGCAATGGTGGGCCATCCCTATTATCCTAGCTACTAAGGAGACTGAGATCTAAGAATCATGATTTGAAGCCAACCTGGGCAAGAATGTCTGGAACTCTTATCTCCAATTAACCAACAAAATGCAGAAAGTAGAGCTGTAGCTCAAGTGGTAGAGCACCAGCCTTGAGAAGGAAAAAAAAAACAGAAAGAGAAAGTGCCCAGGCCATGAGTTCAAGCACTAGTACTGGCACAATCAAAGACAGAGACAGAGACCAGCACAGAGATAGAGACAGGGACATTGGCATGTATTAAACATCTACCGTAAGCCAAGTGTGGTGAAAACACAGGGAAGCAGAACGCACAGCCTAACCCTCAGGAAACTTATGGGAGAAACTAGACAGAGCAGCTCTAGCATTTATGGAGTGCATTCCTAATCCCTGCACATGTGTTAGCCCCTTTAATCTCCCAAATCTATGGGGTAGCAGTAATCATGATCCCCACTCTACAGAAGAGGAAAACTGAGGCAGGATATATCACTCATCCAAGCTCAAAGAGTTAGAAAGTGGGGTTTAGACTCAGGAAGTCTGGTTCCAGAGTCTAGGCTCTTTACATTTCAGCACAGTACAGTGAAAAGCTATACTCCAGAGCTGAGCGGAGGACAGGAAGACTGCAAAGAGCTTGGCCTGGGTGTGAGTAAATCCTTGAAGGGATTTACACAGAGGAAGAAGACAAAATGGAAGTGAAACTTAACAGATGTTCAAGTTTCCCCGTTGAGTCAAAGGTGGCTTCTGGGATGGAAAAGACCCTACATCTCCCTAGCCAGACCCCTAAGAGAGTGGTTAAAACATGAAGTGTAATGAATCATATCTGGAAAAAAATCTGGTTTCTAGACTCAGCTCTGTAGCCAACCAAAATCTGTGTGACCTCAAGGAAATTATAGTTGCTATGTGCATGGAGACTTTAGATTCTGCCTGGCCTACGTCCCAGAGCCTACAAGAACTAGAAGGCTAGGAGAAGGTGAAGTACATGGAAGTACATAGAAGGAATGGGAACTGTTCTGGGACCCTTCCCGGCAGGTAGGGTTGTGAGATGAGACAAGAGAGGGCTTTGGGTAGCTGAGGCCCAGAGAAGGAGTGAGAAAAAAAGGAGGACCGAGTCATAAAGGATCTGGTCATTCTGAGCTTCTGTGTAAATCATCTCCAATCCCAAATATCCAGGACAGGGCCTAGCCCACAGAAAGCATCAGAAAATAATTCATGACTGAGCAAATAGCATCTCAAGAGGCAATAGGGCTGAGGTTGGGTCATATCTGGCCCAGTTCCTAGAAGTTCCTTTGGAGTCTTACTACCTCTACTACCATTTCATGAATTTAGAAGCTCTAGCCAACACAATAAGGCAGGAAAAAACAAATAAGATCTACTGGCTTTTGAGAAGAAGAGGACCAAAATATGCCTGTCCTTCTTTGAAAATCATATGAGTGCCTGACTAGAATATTCAGCAGAACTGACTGAAATACTAGAAGAACTAATAAGATGATACAGTAAAGGGGATGATTATGAAGTAAATACAAAAATCAATATATTACTTCAATAGCTGAGAGCCAGATAGAAAATATAACAGGGAGGGGCTGGGAAGGTGGCTCAGTGGTAAAGTGCTTGCCTTGCATGCATGAGGCCCTGGGTTCGATTCCCCAGCACCACATAAGCAAAAAGAAAAAAAGCCAGAAGCAGTGCTGTGGCTCAAGTGGTAGAGTGCTAGCCTTGAGCTGAAGAGCTGAGGGACAGCGCCCAGGCCCAGAGTTCAGGCCCCACGACCGGACCCTCCCCCCAAAAAGAAAAGAAAATATAACAGGAAAAAATAACCTAATCATAATGGCAACAAAAATAAAATCTCTAAGTATAAACTGAATAAGAAACATGCAAGGATTACATAATAAAAAGTATACAATTTTACTGAGATGTTAAAAACTTCAACCAAATGAGAAAACATGCCAAGTGTGTAGAAAGAAAAACTTGATATTTTAAAAATGTTAATTCTTTGTAAATTAATATATGCACTTAATGCAATTCCAATAAAGATTCCCAAAGAGATTTTTAAAGGAAATGAAGATAGCCATAAAGTTTATCTAACAAAAAATAGCCAGAAGTATTTTAAAAGGGGAGAGGAGGAGAGACACATCATACAACAATAGTAAATGTCATATAAAATAAGATTATACTAACATACAAATATACAGGTAGAGCAACAAAACATACTAGAAGCCTGAAAGAGTCTGGTGTATCAGATAATGATCATTTGAGGAAATATTGTTTAATAAATGGTTAACTGCTAAAGGAAATATTAGATTCCTATTCCATTCCCATTAATTCCAGATGGTTTAAGAATTTTAAGAGTACAAATGATATCATAAAACAACAAGATGTAAAAATGAAGACATACGGAGGTGGCAGCATTGCAGCTCAAGTGGTAGAGTGAACAAAAGAGCTGAAGGACAGCACCAGGCTCTGAGTTCAAGGCCTGTGACTGACAAAATAGTGGAAACATAGCAAGAAAGAAATTTCCAAGTATAAGCAAAATAAAGTTGGAGGTGTAGCTCAGAGGTAGAGTGCATGCTTAGTATGTAGAAGGTCCTACTTCAGTTCTTAGTAGAAGGAGGGAAGGAAGGAAGGAAGGGAGGGAGGGAGGGAGGAAGGAAGGAAGGAAGGA